TAAAACAAAAAGGATGTTACTTTTGGCTACCATAACAGGATGAATATTTATGCCTATCTATATTATTTCCATTTTTTCAACAGTATGTGTCATTTATTTGGAAAATTTACAAGAATATTCCATTTATTCGTTCGACTGTTAATACCAAAATTAAATAAGTTTTCTCTATTTCAGTGTTTTTCACTCCCAACCATTATTGATAATCAAACTATGCAGGTTCCGAATATGCCAGTTCGGCTTCATATTTTTGATGTCACACGCCAAATTAACGGAGTTTTATCATTCGGTAGATATTGACTACGTTAAATATTCTAAAATTCGCACATTTATTTTAGTATCTAGTTGTCAATATATTTTTGATGCTCTAAATGAATTGCCATTTTAAATATTAATACTAAATTAATTTTGACGAAAAATTATCATAATATTTTACCAGTGGTTTACGTCCTCCTATTAATTTTATAGAAACTGAAGAATGATTGATTAATTTTCTATTTTCTTTCTGTATTTGGGATGTGTTGTACGTAGATATTTCAAGTTTTAAATTAAAAAAAATTGAATATTTAAAAATGCTGTGGACAAATTCATATACTTCTTACTTTTTCTGTTACCTCCAGTTCCTCCAATCTATCCCTACTGACCGAAATGTAATCAAAACAGCTGAAAACTTTCAGCCGCGTTTCATATTTTCATTAGAATCTCCCGACGTTTTTATAACAAAGATGGGAAGGATAAGCCTATAGGCGATATTGCTATTCTAACAAATGGTTAATATGTTAACGTTATTGCAGCGGTAAGCCGGGCAGGAAGTTAATTTCGGCCGTGTTGGCATCATTAATCCCTAATGGGGCGCGGTTGATGTATGATCGGAGTTGGCCCTGCTTTTGCACCACGCTGTGCGCTTCTCTCCCCCTCGCTCCTACCCGGCGGTAGCGGACTTTATTGGCCTCCGGATTCTACACCGGGAAAATCAAAGGTCATAACTTCTAGATAAGCTACAATAAGTCAACGTTTATTTAGCACTGTATTCTAGTTTTATTAAAGGATGCTTTTCATTTTTTTTAACCCCTTATTTTAGTTTTTTCGTATATATATATATATATATATATATATATATATATATATATATATATATATATATATAAATTCAAACTAATTTATTGGGGGCAGCAGCAATATATAATAAAGAAAACTCTTTAAAGATGATCCAAGCTTTCGGAAATTTTAATAACTTATTTCCATCTTCAGGGAATCTACAAAAGGTGTGGTGTGTCTTCATAGGAACATAATATTATTAAGAGAGTGAGTTACTTACATCTTTGTGAGGATGAATTATTAATGATGTTAAATGTTATGATTTTGATGCACATAAAGAATTAAAATTACACAGTTTTACAATATAACTTAAAATTAATGTGGTT